TGTCATTCCTTCCCCTCCACCTGCTCCCCCACTTCATGCCTGGAAGTTTAGGTTATTTCCCCCTTGTAATCACCAGTGGCATTGCCATGGAAACGATTACACCCACTTTCCTACTATAGCAGAGCTGTTAGGTCAAGGTCAAATGCCTTATCACTGAGTTTCCTGGTTGATACTGGAGATGAAACCTAGGTCCACAGGCTGTAAAGGCAGGCAGTACCCATCCCTAAGCTACATGCTCAGCCATGCTACTGTGCAGACTTTGTTTTCTTTGTTTGGTTGGTTTTTTGTTTTGTTTTGTTTTTTTGGTTTTTCGAGACAGGGTTTCTCTGTGTAGCTTTGGAACCTATCCTGACACTGGCTCTGGAGACCAGGCTGGCCTGGAACTCACAGAGAGACCCCCCTGCCTCTGCCTCCCAAGGGCTGGGATTAAAGGCGCGCGCCACCGCACCTGCCCTTTCAAGTGACCACGCTGATTTGAAAAGATGACACTTTGCACGGATGCCTTGGTGTCACAAAGAAAGGATGAAGTCTCCATCCCGGCCTATATCCCACTCTTCCTGTGACCAAAACCAATCAGGCTCGCTGCTGGGGAATCTGCTCCTCCTCACCACACGGAGCTACCAGGTAGATAGATGTTCTGCAGCTTCTTGGTTGCATAACTGCTTTCCTATGAGGGGTAGGACTCTCCCAGAACCCAGGACGTGGTACTTTGGGACATGTTTCCTGCTGGGAAAGTCCCTCTGGGACCCTGAGTACAGATTTGTAGCTGTATCTCCTCACGCATCCGTTGAACTCAAAAGATTTGAGGCATTAGGTTCGTGTGTCATTTAACATTACAGAAAAATAGAAAAAGAATACCGAAGGATCTGCTACACCAGTTACACACACACACACACACACACAGAGAGAGAGAGAGAGAGAGAGAGAGAGAGAGAGAGAGAGAGATGGCCTCCAGAACACACGGCCCCTCATGCTTTTGGGTGTGAGGGAAACACTAATCTTCTACACACATCCAAAGGAATGGCAGCCACGATTCCCTGGGGGCAGTTTGTGTGTGAAATGTGGCCCAATAGTCCATGTTTGCACAGTGGTCAGTTTTGGAAGGCTTTAGCAGATGAGGCCTAGCAAGTGGGTCATTTGGGAGTGCAAGTGGCTCTTGAGATTTAGTGCTTAGCATGACTCCTGTCCCTCTCTGCTTCCTGTTCAGCTGAGGTGCCAACAAGCAGCTGCCACACACCACCGCCGCCCACCACCCTGCTTCCCTACCATGATTGACTGTTACCCCTCAAACCCTGAGACAACATAAAGTTCCCTTAAGTTGCTTCTTTTCGAGCACTGATCACATCATCAGGAAAACAGAATGGAAAAGTAGAGCCGTGAAGCGGTGCTGCAATAGACCTAACCCTGTGGTTCAGGTCTTCAGAACTAGTCCTAGGAGAGAAGTGCAAGAGCTCAGAGCTGTGAGCTAGACTAGCTCTAGGGTGCTATAAGCACACCTATGGGGACCATCCTGGTGGGATCCAGAAGGTGAGAAGGCTGAGAAACACAGCCACTAAAGATGGCTCACAATATTTTATTTCAGAGGCGAACAAAAGGACCCTGTCAGAAACTGGGCTGGCAACCACTCATGTCATACTCTGTGATGGGACAAAACAGTGCAGTTTCCTCCATCTTGTATTTTTTTGTTTTGTCTTTCAAGACAGGGTTTTCTTCGTGTAGCTTTTGGAGCCTGCCCAGGAACTCACTCTGTAGAACATTCTGGCCTCAAACTCACTGACATTCATCTGCCTCTGCCTCCCGAGTGCCAGGATTAAAGGCATGCACCACCACTCCCTGCCTCATTTTGTATTCTTGCTGAGATCATTTTAGGTTTAACTGGAATCTGATCTCCTTGATAGGCAGCCCTATGGACCATTACTCTATTCTAGGAACCCGAGGTGAAGATGCCCCAGCTAACTTAGCTTCTGTTGAAGCCTGTGTTCCAGCTAACTGCTTTTAATCTGTTTGCTTGCACAAAACTTCCCTCTGTAGCTGCTGGCTGAGATATCAGAATGCGGTTTTGTATTTTAAAAACATCTTACTCCACTCAGGAGGCGGTGGCAGGTGAATCTCTTATGAGTCCGAGCCAGCCTGGTCTACAAACTGAGTTTCAGGACAGCCAGGGCTGTTACACAGAACAAAACAAAACAAAACAAAAAACCTTACTCTAAACCAGTGGTTCTCAACCTTCCTAATGTTGTGACCCTTTAATACAGTTCCTCATGTTGTGGTGGCCTCCAACTATAAAATTTTCATTGCTACTTCATTAACTATAATTTTGCTACTGTTATGAATTGTAACACAGGATATCTGGTATGTGACCCCTGTGCAAGGGTTTTTCAACCCCCAATGGGGTCACGACTCACAGGCTGAGAACTACTGCTCTAAACACTCGGAGCTCCATCTGAGTCCCAAATACCTGAGTATAGTCCTAGCTGGATGGAATAAAGACCATCAGTTGACTACAGACTGTGTCTGAGTGGTCTTCTCTGGTGTACTCCCTATAACAATTCTAGATAGTTTTATCTGCATCCTGAAAACTTGGGTGAGGCTGAATTTCAAAAGTAATGGGCTAAATTGTTAGGCAGAGGAAATTTCAAGGAAGCCTAACATCCAGATTTACAGTCAGAACAAGTAGAAAGTGGTGCAGAGAAATATGGAAAATGGAGATTGGACCAAGTTGAGGGTAGGGCAGATGTGGGATAAACCGGCCATAGTTGTTAAAGGAATTTAGTGCCATTGAAGAGATGTCTGAGACCTTGCTCTGGGATAATAGGTTAAGGTTCCTAGAAGGCAATGTCTCACCAATTGAAATGAGAACTTAGTGTTATAAAAATGCAAATCCATCCTTAAGGACAATGCTTGAAAAGAGACCCTTCAGGGTCTACTGATGGAAAACAGCACACAGGGAGATGTTTTCCCAGGCTCAGCCGCAAGAGCACACAGAGGTGGATGTAACAATGGTCTAAGTGTGCCAGGCTTTCCCTGGAGCCGGCAGCCAAATGTGGTGATGGCATCCACATTTACAAGATGTAAGGGGGAAGAATCATGGACATCTGTGCCAAGATTCCAGAAAGCCACTGAAACCAAACAATGGGTGGCAATAGCAGATTCCGTGCCCGAAGGCCTTCAGAAGTTGAGAAGGTGGGAGGCTATAGTGTAACAGACCCCCGAACATTAGATGCCAGCAAAGTGGGATGTTGGATGCTCACCGAGGAAAGCTGCAGGCACCAAGGAAACAGAATTGTGGGGTGGGACTGCCCGAGACCACTAGGGCCCAAATGATACCAAGCACCTCTGACCCCATAAGGGAGCAGCAGGGTTTGTCTTCTGCCCTGCTGGAGTTCATTAATCTTGCTTTGGCCTAATCTCTCTTTGCTATGCTCTAATTCTGCCCTTTTGAAACAGGCATGTTTACTCTGTGCTATTGTATGTTGGAAGTAACTTATTTTACAGGGGTTCACAATTCAGAAATTGTCTCGAGTCTCAGAGCAAACTTTGAACTTACGACAGTAAACTGTGGGAGTTCTTAAGATGGAAGAGGGTTGTGTGTGGGGGGGTGGAGAGATAACACTAAGAAATAGACTAAATGCATTTTGTATATGAGGTCAACAATTTTAAGTGCCAAGTAGATTATAAAGTCATGTATTTGGGTGTTTAGTTGACAAACAGTGGATTTATCAAAAAGAAATACCTAGAACATTAATGAAGCTCACCCTTTAGTATGCCTTAAGGGCTGTGAGAAGGTGGGAGGGGGTGGTCAGGACACAACTCACCCTAAATATGGGCCACATTATTTCAAGGGCTACAGTCTGGACTAAATAAAAAGTAAACCAGTGGGAGCCAAGTACCTGTGCTCATCTCTCTGCTTTCTGGTCCACCCTGCTTCCTCCTTAGCTTGCTTCTTGCCAGGCATTTTGTGACAGTAATGAGAAAGTAACTAACATAGCACCACAGCCATCTCCCTCCCCTTAGGGGCTCTTCTATCTACTGCATTTAACCAGCTCTTCTTCCGCTGCACCATCTTAGGGACCTACAAAATGGCTCTGTGTCTGTATGTGCTTTAATCCGCACGCTCCTGCTGCTGGATGATTAAGTGCTTGGCGTTTCTGCTCAACTGGTACACTAGAATAGCTTGGGTAAGGACAACTCTGGTTTTGTTTCACATAAGTACTGAAACTCCTCAAGGCCAAATTAGCATCACTTCATTTTCAAAACAGATTAGTAGGTCATCAGCTTCACAAGGGATGACCTATTCAAACAGCAAAAAGACAGACTCCCAACACTAAGACCCTGCCTCTAAAACCCACCTTGTTCTCACACAAGACACCTAGGGCAGGCAACACGGAGCAGCATGGGGCACATGAGCTGTCAGGACCTACAAATTTCCAGGAACAGCTTTTCTGTCCATGTCTGAGTGACCTCACTGGACAGACTGTCAGTAGTGAGTTGTAACATATGCAGTCTCCAAATACAGTGTTTAACATAAGCCAAGAGACAGAATACCAAACTATATTTACTGTTTACAGTAGTAAAGGACAACAAATAATGTACAAACTGGTGAATAAACACAACAGAGCCAACAGACATCCCACCCAAGCCCACGCAGCAAAACAGGAAACAAGAACATTTTCCTCAGGATTTTAAGCAAGCGAGAGACGGTAGGTCAGTGTCGGGTGACTATAAAAGGCAGAGATGGCCACCAAGCAGCAATGAATCCTTACAGAAGGATGACAGGCAGAACTACGAACATTTAACTGGTACAGACCCCACGATGCAGGACCAATGTCACCCACTGGTGCATCACTTTAATACACATGTGGAAAGCGGCAGAGCATAATCCATGAGAATGAGGTCACCTTTCCCTGGCTTTCTTTTGCAACCACACTTTAAAGCAGGTCTTTTCCACAACGTCACTGTAAACTTGATACTTAACCAATTACCTTCTTATACAGAAACCATAATTGTGTATCGGAACCAAGTACTAGAAAATATCTGAGGCCACATTCAGTTTCCAAATGAGACATGGCAATTACTTTCTTCTACATTATATGGAGGGAAGAGAGTGGGTCTCACTGTACCAGCCTTCCCATGTATGCATGACCAGGTACCAAGTACAAAGGGGCACGTGCAGGAGTGGCTGGGTCAAGGACTAAGGACTCCTTTCATCTTTAAAAAGCATTGGTCTTCTCCCTTTAACTTTACCATATCTTTGACAAAGCTCAAATTTACAGTATTTCACATTTTAACAATCGATGCCCACAACAAATAGGTGGAATTCTGTTCCTCTCCTCTCTCTCAACATCCGTAGGCATGCCCACTGAGTAATGTGACCACAAGCTCTACTTGATTAGGACAAGTCAAACCAGAGGTAACTACAGTTTTGGGGGTTAGAGTGGGGACATAGGCCAGGAGTCTACATCCAGCCCCAAGCTTTGGGGGAAAAATATTTTAGGGATGGGAGGAAACAGAAATGAAAACAAAAACAAATCCCAAGAGCTCACATCTCATTTCCCATAAGCAAACACTTTTGTTGGCCAAGTTCCCTAATACTCTCATCCCTGCATTATGGTCTGTCTTCACTCCAAGCCCATCGGAAAAGGAGACTCCTTCAGTGACTCTGGCTTCTGCTGACTCTTCTGTGAGTGGTGGGCGTGGCTGCATGTTCACCATTCAATAGCAAATGTCAGGACAATGGTTGGGTGTGGGGATGGTCCCTCGGGAAGCTGTTCCTCCTGTCTGCTGCTGGAATACGTCAATGGTGTCCTCGTCCTCCATCTCCAGCTATCCGAGTTGCCGAGGCAGGCCCAGGGAAAGGAACAGGAAATGTCAGAGAGGTGAATACACAACAATTGCATGCTCCCAAACAGCCTCCCCACACTAGACACAGCCCAGTCACTTTGGCTGGAGTGCAGCATGCAGGGAAAAAGGGCCCCTCCAGTGGGGTCAGAGTAATAACCACTATCCACCCAACTTCTGACAAGATTCATAGAATAGTCACAGCTAAGAACAGAGAGAAAAATGGGTCACTAAAAACAGACTAATGGGCCACAGAATACATTATGTGCACTTACAATGTCTACTTTACATATTGCATTTTAAAGCATTTTTATACATTTTTAATGGAGAGGGGGCACTCACATGAACTCAGATCATCAGGTTTGGTGACAAGCATCTCGCCCACCAAGCCATCTCACCAGCCCCAGTTTGTAGATAAACATTTTATATCCACAAAAAATTTTGCCTATCATTCTCTTATCTTTAGTTTTTATGTGTTCTGTGTGTGTGGTTATGTGAGCGTATGTGCCTCACATACATCGAGGATTCAGAAGAGAAAGTCAGATCCCCCGGCACTGGAGTTGCAGCCATGAGCTGCCATATGCGTGCTGGGAATTGAACCCAGGTCCTCTGGAAGAGCAGCCAGTGCCCTTCACCCCTAAACTACCTCTCCAGGACCACCCCCCCAAAAAAAAACGTTCTTTTTTTCTGAGACATGGCTCTCTGTATAGCCCTGGCTATTCTAGAACTCTCTCTGTAAACCAGGCTAGCCTTGAACTCAGAGATCTATATGCCTCTGCGTCCTGAGTGCTAGGATTAAGCATGCATCACTACCACTAAACCCCAAAATAACTTCTCTAATTAATTTGATTTTATGTGAATGTATATCTGTGTACCACATGTGTGTCTGATGCCCAGAGGCCAGAAGAGGGCATCAGATCCCTGGAACTGGAGTTACAGGCAGGTGTAAGCTGCCATGTGGGTGCTGGGAGTCAAGCTCTGGTTCTCTGAAAGAGCAGCCTGTGTTCTTAAGTGATGAGTCATCTCTCCAGTCCCCACAAAAATATTTTTAATTAAAAAATTTAAAAGGCCAGGTAGTGATGGTGCACAACTTTAATCCCAGCACTCAGGAGGCAGAGGCAGGTGGATCTCTGTGAGTTCAAGACCAGCCTGGTCTACAAGAGCTAGTTCCAGGACAGGCTCCAAAGCTACAGAGAAACCCTGTCTCAAAAAACAAAACAAAAACAAAAATTTAAAAGTAAGCCAGACAGTGGTGGTGCATGCCTTTACAAAGCAAGTTCCAGGACAGACTCCAAGCTACACAGATTTTGAAACCTTGTCTCAAATAAATAAATAAATAAATAAATAAATAATAAATAAATAAATAAAGTAAGACAAATATCCAGGTTCTGACTCCAACAAAGAGCAAGTGGTTGTCGCTAAGCCGTCAGGACCACAGGGGCGGTCACGCCACAACACCCAGTACATGTGGATGTGTGGGCAATTGTCAAGTGTTGGCCATGGCCCCCAAAGGTATGGCTCCTACACTTGGACTCTGTCTCGAAACAGCAAAGTTAGGCTTGGCGGTACCACTTCATCTGAGAAACTAATCTCAAAATATCAAAATTCAAAGTCTCATAATTAAAATCATTTCGGGAACAAGTCATTTTGTTTGCACCTATTTTATTCTCAAACGACAGTGTTCCAAAGGCACAGACCCTAGCACATAGGGCTACTTCATACCTGGGCTGGAGTGTCTGTTTCGTTGATTGGTTGTCCATCAAACCGGAATCGAATCTGCCTCATTGACAAGCCCTGGGGAAAATGAGGAAATGAATTAGATGTTCCCAGACAACGCAGATTAACCTCAAGATTTCTAGAACCAGCAACAATGTTAGCATTCTGTGTATGCACACATCAGCTGAGGAGAAAGATCACTGGTGGTCCACAATCTACAGCACATGCTGCCCCAAACTGACCCATTCAGAAGTCTCCATCCCATTCAGACACCCGGCCCACCCTAAGCCTGCCCCTTACTTCCTCCTAGAAGCTAAACTGAGCTAAGTTCCTCCCAGAACTTCTGTACAGCAGTACCATTTCCTCCTCTAGAAAGTTCCCAGAGAGAAACAAGTCAAGCGAGCGTGAGGGCCATAGTCAGGAAGGCTGGGAAGAGCACAGCAGAGACAAGGCGTTTTCCATCCTGAAAGGAGGGCAGCAGTCTGCCTCTGCTTGTCTAGGGAGCAGGTGAACAACACCCAGGTGAACAACACTCAGCAACTTTGCTGTCCCTGAAACAGGACAGACGGGATAAACTTTGGCTGTTTATGCGGTCCTGAAGCCTCCCTGAAATGACATGAATGAAAGGCAAGGCCTTGAGGAAGAGCCAGTGGACAGTTGGTCTCTGCTGGTTGGGAGTCTGAAGCCACAAGCCAAGGACACTGGAGTCTCATGGGTGCTGTACCCAGGGATGGTGAGACTAGGAACGCCCCTCCCCACTCTGGGCCAGGGAAGCTGGTGAATTTTTTTTGAAAGTTCACACACAGGGGCTAAAGAGATGGCTCCGAGGTCAAGAGTACTTGATGCTCTTACAGAGGTCCAGGTTCAATTCCCAGCACCCACATGGCAGCTCACAACTGTCTGTAACTCCAGTTCCAGGGGGTCTGATGTCCCCTTTTGGTCTTTGTAAACAAACACCAGTCATTTATACGGGGCACAGACATACATGCGGGCAAAAACACCCACACACATAAGCTTTTTAAAAAATAAAGAGAGTTCACACATAAATTTCTAAGGGTTCAAAGTCCTCCAGAACTCTCAAAGGCCAAGTAAGTATCTCTTCCACATCAGTAAGAAGGACTCTCTGGAGATGTGGACTCAGAGCTCTGTCAAGTATGGTGCCAGGTGGTGGTGATGCATGCCTTTGCAAATCTACAGAGTGTGTTCCAGGACAGCCAGGACTACACAGAGAAACCCTGTCTCAAAAAAACAAAAAAAGACATGTTGGCAAATGGGTGTCCAGGACAGGCTAATAAAAGCCAGCATTCCCCATGTGCCTCAGAGACCCCCCTCAGTCTTCCAGGTGCATTCCCAGGTGCAGGGTAGAGCCTGGAGGTATTCTTTCCCAGGAAACCTAGTGCCTTTCAGATCAGCATCTGGGACCCTCCAGAGCTCCCAGTTCTAACACAGCGCCCTGTGGACGTGCAGCCTCCGCCATACTCTCTTTCCTGCGGTGGTTCACTGCTTCACTCTTAAAATACAAGCAGAAGCTGGGGACATTTAAGAAAAGACCCTATGGGGCTGGAGAGATGGCTCAGGGGTTGAGAGTACTGCCTGTGCTTCCAAAGATCCTGAGTTCAATTCCCAGCAAACACATGGTAGCTCACAACCATCTGTAATGAGATCTGGTGCCCTCTTCTGGCCTGCAGGGATACATGCAGACAGAGCACTGTGTACATAATAAATAAGTCTTTAAAAAAAAACAAACAAAAAGAAGGGGAAAAAAAGACCCTAACATGTGAAAACAGACCAGGGGAAGAGCATGTTACAGAAGTGACATGCTTTCCCAGTGAAGAATCACTCCACACACTTAGAGGTGAGGGAAAAGCTCTTTAATAAAATAGCATGTGTCTGGCTCTGGCTAATGCCCAAAGGGGAGGCCTCATATAGAAGATTTTACTAACTCATATACACCCGAGGCTTATGGATTTCACATATGATGTCATCCTCAAATCTCTGTCAGGTCACCAGGTCACACTTTGAACAACATAAACAGACAGGAGATTCAGTCTGGACACTCAGGCAGATGTGAGGCTTACACAGCAAAGGTGCTGCACATTGCCAGAATTACTTTAAGCATGTCAGTGCAGTTCTTTCAAATAGTTGTTACCTGGGGTGGTCTTGTCCACCAGACAGATTATACATTTTCCAGTGAGAACTGGGGGCATTATGGCAGGCTAAGACTTAACACGGTTGTGGCCGTGCTGGGCCCCTTGTGCTGCATTGTAGAAGCATGGTATTTGATATGGGGATTGGACTAACAAGCTGGTTCTAAGTCAGGTTGTCTCCTTTGTTGAGGGAATAGAGCCCAATGGTCAATCCTGATGAATCAGCAGTTACATCCTAGCATCCTACATTTCTCTTATCCAACAGGCCTGGTTAGAATACTACTTATCTTTGGGGTATTTTGGAGGCAGTGCTCCTTTAGCTGAATTCTACTTTGTATGACTTCATGTCTCCTAAGCAAATCTACTAGTAAAGGCTTTGTAACATCATTTTGCTTTTCTTCAATATCATGAGGCAGAAAAAAAAGGAAGGGGGTGGAGCAGTTAAAACTTAAAGCTTCAATAAAGCTAAAAACATACTTATACATGCTCTCTCTCTCTCTCTCTCTCACACACACACACACACACACACACACACACACACACACACAAGAACACTCTAGAAAGTTGCTACTAGGGGAAAAAAACACAAAACAGGAAAAGACAGAATTTGTGGAAACTAAAAATCATGACGAGCAAGAATGGCCTATAAAGTGGGAAGATAAGGAGAGGGAAAAGTCAAAGAGACAGCAACAGTAGCACCCAGTGCAAAGGGGAAAGACAATGGTCAGAGGCAAGCATGGCTGACTGCGGGAGGACCGAGCACTCCAAACATGAAACACGGCAGAGGCAGATGTCTGCCTACAGAGTAGTGAGGACAGTCAGAGTCAGGGTTATAGCTGGAAAGGGTCCGGAAAGCACCTCCCCAGAGGGATAAGAATCACCTCCAGAGCCCCTGCCGAGATGACAGTGAATTATGGCACCTCCCAAAGCAGTGCACCTCAGCCGAAAATACTCCATGCAGCCAAGCATGCAAGTCCCTGTCAGATACAAGGGATGATGTTCCACACAAAGAGGGGGAATTCACACACACACACACACACACAGATACAGTAGGAAGGCTACGTGAGTCTCCAGAATGATTCTCAAAAGGCTATGGGATGGCAATCATGCAGACACCCTCACTCCAAAGCAATGGTTTAGGTGGGGCCAGCAGGAGGCTCCAAACATTGAGGCAGCTGATCTAGTGTGCCTCCCACCCCTGAATGTGGGGGCCTCAGCAGAAGATTAGGGTACAAGGAAACATACATGAGAGCAAGCAGACTGAGCAGAACACAGGCAAGGAAGGGCCCTGCACACTGGCACAGTCTAAGTAGTGGCACACAGCACAAGCAGCTGACTCAGCTGGGAGGGCACAGGGGACACAGCGTCCTCAGAAAGTTCTGTCTCACCTTTCACAGGTGAGAAAAGTACCCAAGGTCAAAACCTAGAAGACAAGAGGGCAGGTGCACTGTCTGCAGGGCTTGAGAGCCAGGAAGGAAAAGCACAGTATTGCCTGGCAGAGCACGTTCAACAAAGTCCCAAGGCAGGAATGTGGCTATCAGGGCAGTAGATAAAGGGCAGCAAACAGCTGTGTTTGCAAGCACTTAAGGGCAACCTTGAACCACCATATTGAGATGCCACTGCCCACACCAAAGGGCAGGACCCCCTACCAGATGGCAGGGCTCAGACAGGAACTGGCACGTAGGTCTATGTGCAGCAGGCCAGGCAGCCACTGGGGCAGACAACAGAGGAGCAAGACCAGGAATCCAAGGGCTCCCGGTGGGCTGGAGCATACCCACATGCCAAAAGGTCCTTAGTGAGAATGAACTAGATGGATGAACCCAAGCATCATGTGTGCCAGAGCCATGAGTCCACACCGACACTGACAACAGCGAGCAGAAATGACCAACCCAGCTGGTCACTGTTGGGGACAAAGGTCAGTCAGCATGCTATTTTGAAATGGTAATTAGGGAGAAGATAAAGTGTTTCCTCGATTCCCTAAATAAGACAGAAAATCAAATTGCCCATGAGGTCGGCACAAACAAGCGTAATTGCATGGATATCAGAGGGAGGAATTGGAATCAGCACTGATCCTTATCTGCACACACCACAGAACATCACCACCAGACCCAGGTGGGACCCATGTGCTGGCTGATGGACTGTAATTACCACCACCATGATGGTGTCTATGAGGAAGCAAACCCACACTGGAGCCTGCTCAAGCCTCAAACTCCACCTTGCCATTTGCAGGAAACCGGCCGGGGAGAAGACACACTATAAGAGACATGCAGCTAGCAAAACCCAGGGCAGCAAGGGCACACCTGCAACACAAGCAGACCCCACAGGACTTCCCCACCCCGAATGGGGCTCTACCTACCTGCCTCTCACAGTAGGCCTTCATCAGCTTGCTCAGTGGGGTGTGCCTCTTGATCTTGAACTGTACCACTGAGCCATCCTGCCCCGCAACTTTCAGGTTGATATGGTCATTCTCTGTCTTCACTCCCTCCTGAAAGACACAGGAATTGGGACTCAAAGCCAGCTCAGAACCACCAGGGTTTAAAACGTAAGTCCTTAGGTAAGAGTTGTTGTTTCAAGTCTTTAAAACCTACCTAATTCTTAAGACTCCCCCAGCAGCACTGCTCGTGTGATTGTCTTATTTTTACACAGAATTTATTTTTAACCTACATTTGTTAAGCACCGTGACAGAAACAGTGGTACAAAGCCAGTGTCCTCACAGACAACCAATTCAAAGACAAAAATCTACTCATTAGATCTAGGAAGCCAAAGAAAACCCATCTTTATTTTAAAAATGACTTATGAGGCCGGGTGTTGGTGGCACACGCCTTTAATCCCAGCACTCGGAATGCAGAGGCAGGCGTATATGAGTTCGAGACCGGCCTGGTCTACAGAGCAAGTTCCAGGACAGGCACCAAAATACAGAGAAACCCTGTCTCGAAAAACAAAAACAAACAAACAAACAAGACTTATGAGACTGGTAAACACATTTGCATGGTTTTATAAGACTGGTAAGAAAAGCCACATAAAACCAAGAGTGGAGAACCAGAGGAACACTGGGGGACTCTGAGGGATCCGCTGGAGTCAGCAGGGTGAAAACTGTAGTTCCCTGGACCCTCTGGTCTTAGACTGTGCTCTTCTGTGGCTGGGTGTGGCTCCAAGGAATGAGTATGCTCAGCCTGCACAGGCCCTGGGTCCCTATTGAACAGCACTAGTTTTTATACATCGTGGTACACACGAGAGCTGGACAAAGGCGAAGTCAGTACTTGTCAGTTGCTGGAAACACACTTTGAACAGAGCCAACTTTGGGGCTGTTCGATCTGGGAAGGAACTACTTTTGTTGTTCAGGGCATGAGTGACTCACACAGTATATCAAAAGCCCATAGGAGCTTTTTAACCTTTATTATTTTTGAATGTGTCTGACTATTTTGTGTATCACACGCAGGCAGTGCCCATGGAGGCCAGAAGAGGGCGTCAGATGCTCTAGGACTGCAGTTAACAGATGCTTGTTAGCAGTCACCTGGGTGCTGGGAACTGAACTGTGTCCTCTCAAAGAGCAGCCAGTGCTTCTAACCCCTGAGCCATCTCTCCAGCCTTGGGAACCGTTTACTTTTTAAGGACATAGATCCCTTGGTCCATCTGCAGACCGCATTTTCTCCCTGTCCTCACACCAGTTTTTTCCCACAGCTTAACTGAGTAACTCCCTGCTTCCCTTGGATGGCCTCTGCCACTTTTTTATTCCTGGAGAAAGGGGCAGAACAGCATCAGGAAGCAACCTGCTCTGAGCTTGGTACAAAAGGCCTTGGGTAGAACAGTGTCTGGAAAGGAGCCTGCCCTGTGCTGGATCCTAAAAGCCTTGGCTAAGAGCTTTTTCTAGCCTGAGAAACAGTTCCCAGGTGAGAGGGTCCTGCAGGGACCTGAGAGAACAAACACCTGAGCACCCTCCTTCCATTCCCTCCTGTGAGAGAATTCCCAGCATTCAGTCACAGGACACCAGTGACACAGTAGCACTTCTCAGAGAGCTTGGCTACTGCTCCAAACTGTGGGCTCCACTGTGAGAAAAAGTGAACAACTCCAGGCCCCCAAGATGCACTGACTTCTATCAGGAAAAAAAAAAAAAAATGCTGTGTTCAAATCAGACACAGGAACCAGGGCCTAAACAGAAATGCCAGCAGAGGTGAAAGGGCCCAAGGCACGCTCCCCTCTAACAGCAGGATAGCTGGCACAGTCCAGTAGTTCTCTGATTAGCAAGCAAACTCAGAGGTTAAGAAAAATGAGGCTTGCCAGGCATTGGTGGCCCACGCCTTTAATCCCAGTACTGGGAAGGCAGAGGTAGGCGGATCTCTGTGAGTGGGAGGCCAGCCTGATCTCCAGAGCGAGTGCCAGGATAGGCTCCAAAGCTACACAGAGAAACCCTGTCTCGAAAAAACAAACAAACAAAAAAAAAAAAAAAAAAAAAAAAAAAAAGAAAGAAAGAAAGAAAAATGAGGCTTAGCACGATGACTTCGAATACCTGTAACCCCAGCACTCCTGGGTATAGGTAAAGACCAGCTAGCGTGACACAGGGAGACCCTGTCTCAAAACAAAACAAAGGCTGGCCAGGTGTGGTGGCACACTCCATTAATCACAGCACTCAGAAAGCAGAGGCCAGAGGATCTGTGAGTTCAAGGCTAGCCTGATCTACATAGAGACCTTGCCTTTAAAAAGGGGGTGGGGGGATAGCTCACTGGCAGAGCACCTGCCTAGTGTACAAAAGCTCCTGGGTTGGATCACCAGTGCTGCAAAATATAAATAAAAGTATAAACCCCTGCCTCCACTAACCTAGAACGGCAGGTGTGGTCTTTCCAGTACCACACCCGGCACTCACTTCCTGCCTAACCTCATAAAGAGGAAACCAACTACAAAACAAAGTGTTTACTCTTAGTCCAGTACAAACAGGTGCTCTCATTCAACGTCCCTGTTGTCCCTGTTGGTGTAGGCAGCACCCAAGGCTGAGTTGGAATTAAAAGTCAGAGCCCTGCAGCCAAGATGATGCTGGGATCAACTGGTGAATTCACAGCGGGGTACCATAGCATTCCAGAGGTTTGCCCTGCTCCTGGGGTCTCTCATCCGAACCAAGAGAGCGGTCATCTCTGGGCCCAGGGCGGTGAACACAGAATGCCAGGCTCCCAGCAGGACAGGTCGAGGGTGGAAAAACTTTTAATTGAGATTGGGCCATGCGGGTCTTCCCACGCACTAACTGCCGAGACTAAGTAAGGGGGACCGCAATGGGGGGGTGGGAGAGCACCGGACCCGGCCAACAGTGAGAAGCTGGGAGTGGCCAGCTTGGCTCCTGCACCGCTGCAGCTCTCGGAGCGCCCACGGGGGCCTCACGCGTGGGCCTCTGCACACGGCACAAGAGGGATGGCCACGTCGAGGAGGGAGGACTGAGAGGAAGACTGGATAACCGAGAGCCAGCACCCCGCGG